TAAGTTTTTTTTTTTTAAGATCTTTTTTTAATCTGCTCTAAACCATCTTTGGGTCGTTTTACACACATCTCCACTAGTAGTATTGCATTCCTTTTTCATCAAAGCTAAACTTTCCATCCACCCATCAGGTATTTCACTCATTCTCCCATCAACACTACACAATCGACATGGAAGGATTTTACGGACTCGAAGTTGCCACTGGCAAACAGCAGGTGAAGCCGAAGATCCCCGAGGGCTGTGCGCTGCGTGTGACGCAGCTCGCCGTCCCCGCCAACGCCACCGGGACCATCTCACTCCTCATTTCCTTTGAGGGCAAGCAGTTCACCGTCGCGACGCTCGACCCGAAGAAGGGGATCTACCAGATGAACACCGATCTCGTCTTCACGGAGGCCCAGGCGGTTTCTTTCGCCGCGCAGGGCAGCGGTGTGATTCACCTCACCGGCTATGTGCAGCCAGTCGGCGCGGACGACCTCATGAGCGAAATGCTCGACGACGACGACGACGACGCTGAGCTGGAGGAGGTTTCCGAGGACAGCGACGAGGATGAAAACGCCAAACAAGCGGCCGCATCGAAGAACAGCAAGGTCGCCCAGAAGGTGGAAAAGGAAGACGACAGCGACCTCGAGGGCGAAGATGACGAGGACGAGGATGACGACAGCGACCTCGACGTCGACGACGAGGACGATGAGGATGAGGATGACGACGAACAGGAGGGCGGCAAAGGCGGTCTTCCCGGTCACGAAGCCCACGAGGATGACGACGACGACGACGACTTCGACGACGACGACGAGGGCGAGGACGAGGGCGAGGACGAGGATGATGGCGAGGAGGATGATGAAGACCACGACGATGAGGGCGAGGACGACGAAGACGGTGAAGATGAGGATGAGAGCGAAGATGAAGTTCCATCGAAGTTTCAACGTCGGGAGCAGAGGGACCGTGGCGATCGCGGCGGGAACTTCCGCGGTGGGAACCGTGGCAGCTTCCGTGGCGGCGATCGCGGTGGATTTAGGGGCGGGCATCGCGGCGGAAACCGTGGCGGGGGCTTCCGCGGTGGCGATCGAGGAGGTAACCGCGGCGGGGGCTTCCGCGGTGGGAACCGTGGCAGCTTCCGTGGCGGCGATCGCGGTGGATTTAGGGGCGGGAATCGCGGCGGAAACCGTGGCGGGAGCTTCCGCGGTGGCCGCAGCAATTCTCGTGGGCGCCACTAACTTCATTTACTGAAAGGGTGAATTTTTTATGAAAAACAACACCGACACCATCTTGGGGGTGAAAATATTTAAATATTTGCGTTTACATGAAAAAAAACCATTAAGGTTGTTGAAAGAGTATGCTAATCGAATCGTAAGGAAACCACGCATTTTTCATTCGAACTGATCCACATCATATTCCGAGCTGCGTAGTTTTTAAAAATGTATCTTTGATAACTCTACCAATTATTTAACTAAATTTGTTGAGGAATGTAAGGTCATAAGGGAAGGGGGTTATCAGTTGACACTGATTTTATTAACTTACCTTGAAAGGCATCTTTAATGACATTTTTCCTTTACTTGAGAGAAAGTTTTTTTTTTAAATCTACAAGCAGCGGCCAAGAGCTTTGAGAATATATATAAGTGTATGATCCTATTTCTCAAGACATTAATGCAATTTTTTGTTAGAAATCTTAATCAGCGTTAAAGTCTTCAGTTTTATAGATGTTTTTATGCGATCATATCCGGACGATTGGCGCATGCATGGTAGTTAATAAAAGGGAAAAAAAGGAATAATAAATGGTAAGTTTTCTGAGACCCTAACCGTCAATAAGGCGCATAAACAAGAGTATAAATTTAACTGGTTGAGTTCTTTAAAAGAAAATCCTTCAATAAAAGGTACACAGCTTAATTATAAATATTGATAATTTTAAATTTTAATCCTAAAAAAATAATAAGTTTACATTCTCTCTTCAGCTCCTTATATCAAGGAGCTGAACCTATTCGTTGAGCGTATTCCAAAAGATGTGTATGGCTGAATAACAGCATTTTATAATCATTACTCTCCTTAATTCTATTGAGTTTACCTTTTTCTTTAGGCTGCACGTTTTGAGTTTACTCCGCATAGATTACTTATCATTCTTTAAAAGTCCTACTTAGCAAAAATTTCTAATACTTTTATTTTTATTCTTTCTCATACTAAGTCATAATGGAGAGGTTTTATGCTTTTCAGGTATCCCCTGGTAAAGAACACACGTTGGAAGTGCCACCTCAACACGGCTATCACCTCTCTATTGTTTCCTTCCCGCATGAGACTACAAACGGCCGCACAACGCTTTACGTGTCGGTTGATGGAAAATCACATGCGATAGCTACGCTGGATTTTGGAAAGAATATCTTTCAGGTACCTCTCGATTTAGTCTTTAATGGGGTCCAAAAGACCGTTTTCTATGCGAAGGGCTCGTGTGCGGTGCACTGCATTGGTTATATTCGCGAACTTGACATCGACACCGATGATGAACTTTCTCCTTTCGGCGACGATGACGAGGAAGATAGCGAGACTGAGCAGACAGCCTCCTCAAACAAGAAGGTGGCTAAGGGCGACGCCATAAAGCCTCTGAAAAAAAACGACAAAGAGCGGAAGGAATTTCACGCCGACAGTAACCCTGAGAAGGATATCGAGGAGGACGATAACGATGAGGACAGCGACGAAGAGTTGGATACGGACGACAGCGATCAGGATCCGACGCAGGCCCCTCCATCATCATCCGACGATGCCGAGGAGGACGATGGGCAGGACTATTCTGATGACAAGGACTCGGATCTTGCTGAAGACGAGATGATGGAGTCTTCTGATGATAATGATGATGAGGAGTATGATGAGGAGATTTCTTCGAACCCTCCAGACGTGTCTTCGGGTGATGACATTGATGATGAGGATGATGAGATTGAAGATGCGATGCCCCCAGCGAAGCCTTCTCGTCTTGAGAATAGTTCTCCTCGGCGCCAGCAGCAGCCGGCGAAGGGCAGCCCCAATGCTAACGGAAAATTGAGCATCACACCAAAACAGTTGCCGAAGCAGTTTCAGAATAAAGTCATGAATAAGGCTGGCAATAAAAGAAAGCGGGGCTAAACGAGAAATCTCAACACCTATTGGCGCGTTGGAAAAAGTCATGAAGGTGGAGGGCCATTTGAAGTCCTGTTACTCAAGGGGAAACATTTTAGGCTGAATTATATCCCTTTTTGGCTAAAGTTTCCGTTTTAATCACTAATCTAATATTATGAATTAAATTGAGAACGATATAAATAAGAAAAACACATTTAATTCATTCGTAAACAATAAGCTGACTACTAAGAATGAATGAACCTGTTGTGGATTGTTACAGTACTATACCTGCATGACTGACAATCATTTCTTAGGATACATTTTCACGCGTTTTTGATAGCACTTTTAAACTTCCTTTTCTCCCCTTCATCTCCCTTTTATACTAAATATTGCTTTTCTTACAGTTGCTGGCTTGATTTTTTTTAATTTCTTACCAAGTACCTTCATCATAAAGGTACCTTTTCCTTAATTCTACATCTTTTTTCTTTTGTGGTTGGTATGCTGCGATGCTGGAAAATCCATCGCCGACGATCTACCATGACTTGCTAGGTGTCACTCGAAGCCCTGAGGAGCTTGCTGCTGAGGACGACGACGCCGTCTCGGATCCGATCGACAGCCTGGAGGTCTTTGAGCACCTCCGCCGTATTCGCGACCCCGAGCACCCCCACACGCTGGAGGAGCTCAAAGTCTTGGAGCCATCCCTCATCACGGTGGACTGGCGGCGGCGCCTCGTGAAGGTTCTCTTCACGCCAACGGTCCCGCACTGCAGCCTGACGGCAGTAATTGGGCTCAGCATCCTGCTGAAGCTGGAGCGCTCGCTGCCGCCCTTCACGAAGGTGGATGTGTACGTAACCCCAGGCACCCACGTCCAGGAGGAGCAGGTTAACAAGCAGCTCAACGATAAGGAGCGGGTGGCCGCTGCGCTGGAAAATCGTAGTCTACTGAACGTCATTCAGACGTGTATTGCGGATTCGGAGTGAGGGGTTTCAGCCCTTATTCACCCCCTTTTTTATTATTCTTTGAGTATGCGTGGGGAGTGGAATACGGAATAAATCTGAGATGCGTTTTTTCCAACATTATTGGTAAATTAATTTACTTACAATGCTTACTTTTTTTATATATTTGCGTTTAACTGTAATCTATCTGTAGTCATTTCCATAATGACATAAACATCGATTGGATCCATCATGAAACAAAAAATTCCGTTTGAAGTCTATGGAATTGACTTTGAGCCTTGTTGCAGAAACTTTCCTATTTTACGTTTCCTAATTACTTGCTTAGTTTTTAATGTGTGCGTCTTGTGATCGCAGTTTCGTAGTCCTTGTGGTCTGCTAAGGTGTATTGAACTACATAAAACTATAGACATTGATATTATATATATAAATATATATATATATATAATATAGCGAGAGAGTACGCCATAATAAGTATACCATAACGAGAGCGTTCACAGCATTCACCTAGAGGAATGTTAACTCAGAAATCTTTGAAGAACTTAGAATCACCTCATGTCCTTGATAATGTGGACCCCAACGTTGAATGCGGATCGACTTTCAGTGATCGATCTAAGGTGCCACCATTAAAAAAAAAACTCCGCAACGCGGTTGATCCCGAAACCGCGCCGTTTGTCGTTGATGTTGACGACGACGAGGAAAGTATCGGAAACAAGCCGCACCACATTTCCACCGAATGGAAAAAACAGAATGGGCACGACGAAGGCTCCAAATCGTCGAGCTCAACAACTTCTACAGACCTTTCGCATTTTTCGAGTAGTACTGATAGCGACAGCAATTGGAGTCAGTTTTCTACCCTGGCCAAGAATGAGAATGGCGGCGGTGGCGTCGTACGACCAAAGCGAATACGCAGCTCATCGTGCGGTCTCCAGTCTGCTTCATCCGGACCCCTTGAAAAGGGGTGCACCTCGGCTCCACAGGGGGCCGTGGCGAGGGCTTCCAAAATTGGCGGTTGCCTTTTGCTCTCCCAGGAGGAGGAAGAGGAGGAGGAGGGCCGCGGGTCATCCACGTCGGGGGCGACTCCGGACCCGTTGGAAACACTCTCTGACGAGCAGCGGTTTGCTTTTCATCAGGTGGTGCGCGAGGGCCGCTCCGTGTTCATCACCGGCGGGGCCGGGACCGGCAAGTCTTACCTCCTCCGCCAGATCATCGCGTCTCTGCCAGTCAGCACCACCTACATAACCGCCACTACGGGCCTCGCTTCCATGAATATAAACGGGACAACGCTCCACCGCTTTGCCGGCTGCGGCCTTGTGGAGCCCTGGAGTGATCGCAGTGAGGTGCTCGCCAAGATGCAAGCCAGCCAACGCTGCAGGGCGGGGTGGAGATCCTGCCGTACCCTAGTAATTGATGAGGTATCCATGTTGGATGCGTGGTTCTTTGAGTTTCTCGAGCACGCCGCGCGAAGGATCCGCCAGCAACCAAATAAACCATTTGGCGGTATTCAACTCGTTTTATCCGGTGATTTTCTTCAGCTTCCACCTGTTACCAAGAAGCAGCAGCATTCTAAGCCGGTCTTTTGCTTCGAAAGCGAGGCGTGGCTAAAGTTAAACCCCTACATCTGTCTCCTCACAAAGCCCTTTCGGCAGAAAGATGCCTTTTCCTTCCGTTTGCTTAACCAAATTCGCTTTGGCGAGATGGATATGGTGTCTTTGATGTTCTTGAATTCCCTTAGCGCGCGTGCAGCGGCGGGTCCGCCCCCTAGTGATGATTCAGACCATAAGGACTCTTCTAATCCGTGCGACCAAATCCAAGCGGCAGGGGATTCATCGAGCTCATTGATAGCGAGTCGACCTGCTTTGCTGAATTCATCCGATGCGTTATCGCTTCGCGCATTCAGCGGCTATACTTTACTTCGTTCCAAACGAGCCGAGGTGAATTGCGAAAATGCTCATCATTTTCAACAACTGAACACGGAGGTATTCATGTACCGTGGTTTTCACACAGGGCGAGGTGAGTTCCCCTCGCAGAATATCCAAGAGGTCGTCGAGTTGAGGGTCGGCTGCCGCATCATGCTGATCAAGAACCACGATAGTGTGTTCAGCCTGGTCAACGGCAGCACCGGCACCGTCACCAGGTTTGTCGATGTCACCAAGGGCTACCCCCTCGGTCGGTCGACGATCACCTTGGAGGACATTGAGCGTTTGTGTTGTGGCCAAGGGGGGGATGCGAGAAAGCGCCACACCAGGCTCCCCATTGTCAAGTTCGACGTCTCCCATTCTTCCGGGGTTGGCCCCTCCTCGTCTTCCGCCCCTGTCGAGATTGTGGTGTGGCCGCGTGCGTGGTACGAGATGAGCGGAGGGACGGTGCTTTCCACGACCATCCAGCTCCCCCTTATCCTTTCCTACGCCATCACGATCCACAAATCCCAG